CAAGACCATGAAGGCCATCTTTCAAGACCTTCGCGACGGACCACGGGATCAGATCGATTCCCTCTGGGAGGAGCGGCGCTACACCATTCATTCTCGCCATTAATCCCGACGACGGCATGATGCACATCAGCGAGCCGGCGACGGATGTAGCCCACTCCAGTTGGAGCATCGACGGTATCCAGCTGCGCATCAAGGAGGTCCACGGCGACCTTATCACTCCACACTCTTGCACTCCCATCACAGAGGGGTCAACCCTCAGCCAATGGATACATTACGACGCAATTCCGGCAGTCCATCACCAGCTCAGCCAGCTATGGACACCTCGGTGGCTCTCTTCGGCACCACCGAGTCAAGACGACCTCTCTCGCATCTCATCCTTCTGTACAGCTTTTTTGCCCACCTGCAAATTGGTCTACGAGGACATCTCAATCCCTCAATGGCGCAGGGCCCTCAAGCGTTTCAAATCACACGCCGCCAGGGGCGCCGATGGCTTCGGCCTCTCGGACCTTTCCAACATGTCCGACCAGCAGGTTACATTTTTGCTCTCCATGCTTCACGCCATCGAGACCGGCAATTCTTAGTGGCGTACACAGTGGCTGGAAGGATTTGTGATTGCCTTAGCCAAGGCCCCGGACGCTCACACATCCTCACAGTACAGGCCGATTGTGCTGCTCTCTCTGATCTACAGATGCTGGGCATCGATCAGATCCCGGCACACATTACTACAGCTCTCGCACCACATCCACGAAGACGCGTACGGATTTATTCCTCACTGGGAGGCCTCTCAGGTTTGGTGTCAAACCCAAGCCGCCACGGAGCTTTCAACCCAGAGCAACTGGAGCCAGCTCGGCATCTCCACCGACGTCATAAAAGCCTTCAACAACATCAGGCGTGAGCCAATATTTGCAGTTTCCGCCCATATCGGGCTTCCGGATCGAATTCTCCGCCCTTGGGGCCTTTTCCTTTCCATGCAACGCAGATTTTCCAGGACGCTCCGAGTCCCGAGTTACTTTTGCCTCGTCGAGCTTAGATGGCCTCAATTGTCGTGAGGGCAACTTAACTTCCAGCGTGAAATTTCACGAGTTTTCACGGCCTTATCACGGAGTAATTTCGGCCTCGTGGCTTTTGGCACGAGTAATCACGGCCTTTCGGCCGAGTTTTCACGGCTCCGTGTTCGCCGGCGAGTGGAAGTGGCCGGGGCCACTTTAGCTTATAGAGCCAAAGTAACTCAGGACTCGGAGCCTCCTGGTTAGGTTTTCAACCAGCCCACAGCTCCAACGTTGGATTTCCTGAAGGCTGTCCCATGAGCGTCGCCGCAATGGTCATTCTGGACTGGAACATGCATGTCTATATGCAATGCTTTTGCCCAATGGTCAAGACTATCAGTTATGTAGACAACATCTTGGTCCTCGCAGCTCAAACCTTTGTTCTGGCCACGGCCTTCTGCGCCCTACAGACATTCCTGGAACTTTGGGGCCTGGCCTTGGACCTGGACAAGTCCTACTCCTGGGGCACTACGACTTCGGCAAAAAAGGGCGCTGCCCTCCTGGGCATACAGGTTGTCAAGGAAGCCAGCGAACTTGGCGGATCACTCACCTTCACAGCAGGACGTGGCACACGCACCTTCAGTCAACGAAGAGACAGCAAGTGGCCGAAGCTTTTACGCTCTCCCGCACCACTTCAGCAGAAAATCGCAGTTTTGCCACAGGTCTTTTGGGCCAAGTCCTTGCACGGCAGCAGTCCGTCCTCACGGACAAGTTCATACAAAGTTTGCGGACCAAGGCGATGCGCTCTCTTGGCCTACAGCGGGCAGGGGCGAGCCCCATCCTCAGGCTATCACTCTCCAGGCCACCAACACCGGACCGCGGGTATTTCCAATGGCTCAACACGCTGCAGACAGCCAGACGACTTTGTCGGAAGTCACCGGACCTCGTCACAATGCGGGGGCAGTTTCAACAGCAGTTTGACGGGCGGATTTTGGACGGCCCTTTTTCCAAATTGACGCAGCTATGCAGTTCGATGGGCTGGCACATCGTTTGCCATCCCATCCTCTGTGCACACGACAACTTGGACATCAACCTCGTTCAGATCGATTCACACGCATTGGAGCAGCTCGCGTACGATGCATGGCTGCAGTATGTCGCCGCTTCAGTCAGACACCGCAAAGCGCTGCAGCAACTGGACAGCTTGGACGCCGACATTTGTCAACTGGCTCACCACAAGCTGACACCGCTTGAGTATGCGCGGGTCCAGGCCATCCAGCAAGGAGCATTCATCGCTCCATGGCAGCAAGCCAAACTCGACGTCACCAAGGACGGCAACTGCCCCATTTGCAAGGTTCCGGACACGCTCTTACATTGGTATTCTTGCGATCGCTTTGCGGGAATCCGGGCCCGCTACCCGGGCTTTGCTGAAACAGTTCAAGAGTGCCCCCAAAACACCCTGGCCCACTTACTGGTCCCGAGGTCACCGTCAACGCGAGACCTCAGACATGCATTGCAAGCACTCCCGAGCGACTTTGAGTTCCTCTCCCAACCTGGAACAGGCATTCAGCACGTCTATTCTGACGGCAGCTGCCATATCCATGGGTCTCGAGGCATCCCTTTAGCAGCTTGGAGTATTTGCAATGCAACATCCGGACGACCAATTGCAGGGCAACACCTCCACGGCCTTACACAATCCATTGGACGTGCAGAGCTAACCGCAGTTTTAGCCGCCGCAGCATGGACGTTGAGATTCCACAGCCAGACGCGACTTTGGTCAGACTCGCAGTGCGCCGTTTCTGGCACCCAACGGCTCATTTCCGGAGACCCTATTTTTTTGGCAGGCAATCCCGATAATATTGACCTTTGGATGCAACTTGGGGACGTCATTCAACAACTTGAACGGGAACAATTCCTCATCGCCTACACCCCCACACACATCCACCCAGCGCGTTGCGATTCCCCTCTTAAAGAATGGTGTGCCACCTGGAACGGCCATGCTGACTTCAACGCCGGCTTAGTCAACACAAAGGCCTGCCTGGAGTTTGCTTTTTTACAGCCTCTGGACCCACAGGGTCAAGCAGCTTCGCGGATACCTGCTCGCGGTCGCGGAACATAGGCGCCAGCCTTCATTTGACCCCTCTGTTTTCGAGACCGTTCAGGTTATCGACGATACAGACTGGGACGAGCAGATACAATCTACATCACTGTTTGAAGCACTGCCAGGTAACTGGATGCAACTTCTCATTGCGAAAGAAGCAGGAACGCTGACACCCTTTGCCGCTCTACTGGTCCAGCTGGTCAGCCGCACGGAGGAAGCATCGGCAAATTTTTGTGCGGTGAGCTACATCGAGCTCGCGCTTTTACTTTGCAAGCAGGGTGACTTTCAAATCCCCCCTGCATCGCAAGACACGCAGCAGCCTGCGCCTCTCCGGCCAATCTGCACCCTTTTCGTCAGGCCCACTCTCTCCAGGGTGGTGCGCCTGATCCGCGCTGCGTTTAATCTCATCTTCGAGACGATTGGACTCGAACGAAACAGGCGATCTGGTCTCAATCGCAGCGCGGCGGGCATCTCTTTCCCTTGTGATGGGCTGCTGCCAGCCCTCACTCTGCATGAGGCTTTCAAGGCCGCCAAAGAATTCACATCTCATCGCGGTTTTCGGCGATCATCCGACATAGCCAGACCGCTTTGAGCAGACCGGAACACAGGCACGGCCGCACTGCTGCCGCCGTGCGCCGTTGCCACATGAGAGAGTCCGCGCTAAACATGTGCTCGTCCATGAAGCAACTAGGCAGCCCACCGTTTCCAATCGACATGTTCAGGTGGTTGTTGTTCGAGAGGAATGGACCCGCCTGGGTGGAGCTGGTGCTGTGAATGGCCTCGGCTGTGTCAGCGTGTGTGATGTCGAGCTGAAGGACTTGGCCGTGTCCGTTGCGACGAAGGTGCTCTGCGGATGCGGAGTTCCAATCCACGCTGATGCCCGGGAGGCCACCCAGAAAAGATGCTCCGATGCCCATTCCGCCAAAGCCGGCGCATAGCTCGAGGAGCCAAGGCGACAAGCTGGATGTGGAGGAGCTGGATGCCTCCCACCATGTATGGGCCAAAGCCCGCAACTGAGGAATGGGCTGCACTGTCTCGACATTCGCATTGCAAATCGAGACCACCTTGAGCGGCAGATCGGCGCCGTAGATGCATGTCTTCATCCCGTCATGAAGGCGTGTAGCCCGAAAACCGCCGCTGTCCAGTTTCCCCTGAATGCTGAATACACCACTGTAGGACTCCCCCACCGTGAAGGGGCCTCCGAAAATTCGCTGATCCATGGCGGGTTGAAACGGTGTCTCAGGTGTCGGCTGTCACAGGGTTACCACTGGTAGGCGCCTGAGCCAAAACCTTCGAGCACATGTTTAAATATCTTGACAACTTGACATAGGCATGCACACGTACCTACCAATCAGTACAGCACGCCTATTCGCTCAGTTTGGGACTTTCAATGGAAGACTCAACTGAACTGATCTTGACGCCTTGCATCTTGCTTGACCCCAACCTGCTTTGGACCTGCACGCATGGCAGATTCTTGCTTATTGCGCACTCCGTCAGTTCCGTGTTTGCTTGGGTGAGTTGTCAGGTTGATCTGAGTAGCAAGTTGCTTACGTCGCCGGACGCCTCGCTAGGCTTACGTCGATTCGGCGATTCGGCCTTCTTCAGGCTCTCGGAGCCCGCCAGGTCCACCAGCACCAGCTTGCCCCGGCGCACGTCGGGGACCGGGTCCCTCGAGTCTCTCTCAGACCGAGTCTCTGCCTTTCTCCCTCGAGTCTCTCGGGATGCGGCTGGGGGTTCACCAAGCACTCAATGGTCACAGTGAAGAGACAATGCGACCTTCGCGTTGCAACTCCAGCTTAGCTTTGGCTTACCTCTTAAATCCAGACTCTTGCTTGCGCTCTGTTTTGCGCCGCTTCGAATAAGTCTGGCCAAAGCCTCTCCGCATCTATTGCATGTACACGTCTACCATGTCGAGTTTAGTCTCGTGATCGACTGGCATCTCGCCTTCTTGCACCTGGGCACGCTTCGTGCGGACTGGACGGGCCTGGGCCGAATCTTGGGCTCAAACTTCTGGATCTGACCCTCCTTAAAGCACGAGGTGCAAAATCCGAAGCGGGCAACATGAAGGTCAGCTTGGTCCTCCGCGAGTCACTTCTGGAACTTGGACCTGAAATTTGAAACTGAGCTTCCTGCTTAGTGGCTTCGGGATCTCTGAATGGAACTGAGTTGCTCCGTCGTCTCTTTCCCCTTTTCTTTGGCTTGCTTTGGCTCCTGCAAGCGAGATCATCGACTGGCTACGTGCAAAGTAAAGGGGCGCGCCGGCTGGATGGCCGTCTGCGTCCTAAGCAGCGGAGTCCAAAAAACAAGTCAAAAGATGAAAGAACAAGTCAACGATCTCTAGCACTCTGCGCGCGCGCTGCGTCTGGCTCTCACGCCGTATCTCCGAGCCACGGCTGCGGCTTCGAGACCGAGAGTTGGATCTGCCCTCAGCCCAGATCCAAAAGAAATCCACTGATGACGGCAAGAAGCGAACCGGGACACGCGCCCGTTGCGGCCGTGAGGGCTGGCGGGCAGGCGGATCAGTGCCTCTAGCCACCTGCGACAAGGTGTGGATCGAGCACAGCCCTTTCAACGCGCTTACACTTCCATGTCAGAACAACTTGTTTCCCTTGAAACTGTCTGCTTTCCAGGTCTGCAAACCAATTTCGCCCGAAGCCTGCGCAAAGTTCACCCGCAGTTTGGAGCCCTGGAACATCTGGCCATCCATGTCCTGAATCTCGAGATGCCGGGAAGCGCATGGAAGCGCTGTCAGTGGTTCGTGCCTGGACGCACATCTCCGCATCCCGCTTATCATAGAAGCGCACGAAGGCAAAGCCCCGGTTCTTTTGGGTGACGTGGTCCCTGGGCAAATACACATCACCGATGCGGCCGCACCTCAGCTGATGGCTCTATGAGAGAGAAAGAGAGAGAAAGAGAGCCCTTTGAACTGGGGCGCTTTCCTTTGGGACGCCGTTTAGGGTTCATGCGATCAGAACGTTTCACGTCAGCCCTTGAAAGGATGCAGGTTGCCCAGGCTGCCTTTGCGACCATTCCATTACAAATCACTAACCTGCGCACACGCACGCCGAGGCGCTTCCGAAAGAAGTCCCAGACCTCGTCTTTCCGAGTCTCGGGGAAGAAGCCGTCCACCTAAGAGGGCGCAGGGCACAGCGAGAAAGAAAGAATGCCCTGCCTTCAGGCTGTGAAGCTCATCCAGGTTGGACAACGACATGGGCATGGCTCATTCCCAATCCAAACTCACATGAAAAGCAAACTTATGTCCTGTAACACTGTATGTCCCAATTCGGCTTGCAAACACAAAATAGTCGGCGCTCTGCTCATGCGCGTTCGCACGTGCTGGGCAGGTATGTCCGGAGCTGTCAGCGACTGCCATGTCTGAGGCTCAGCTGCTTGCTTTGAAGTCGTCACCGCAAAAGGCTCTGCTCAAGTACTCTCTGGCCACGCGACGCCTGGAGGAGTAGCAATTCCTGCCGTGATTCAGGTGCAAGCATGGCAAGCATGGCGCTCGGCACAGAACATCCTGGATGTTTCCATGAAAGTGCACCGTCTCCGACCGCCTTCCAGGACCTGCCATAAGCAGAATGCCACGGGCCCGTCACCTCACGCGTCTGCGCGCCTGGCGCATCTCATCCGGCGACCTGTCAGGCGCCGCCCATATTTACCCCGCACACCTCCACACCTCTCCACACCTCTCCACACCTCTCCACACCTCTCTCTCTCTCTCTCGCTCTCTCTGGACATCACATTTCTTGCCCCTTCGCTTCGCCTGATGGGGACACTTTTCAGGCCATCGCACATGAAGGCCTTGTGGCCCACCAGCGGATCCTCAGCATCCACTCGGAGCGGTTCCGCCGGTTTTCTTCCCCGCCTGCTTCAACTCCAGCTTTCCCTGAGGGCCAAGGCTTCAAGGAGTCAAAGCAGAGCGTTGCTCTCGACCGCTCCTCCTCTGACTTGCTGGCCAGGAGGTCAATCAAGTTCTCTCTCATTCCATCTGGTGAGTAGATCTCAAGGAACGACGCCTGCCAGGAGAAACGGCCGGCACGTTCGCACACCAACTCAGTCGCCTCCACTGTGAAAACTTCACCCAGGGCACTTCTGTCCTGTGGGGGCTGGTATTTCAACATGAAAGCTCCATCTGCGCGTCTCACTCGATCGGTCCCGGATGAACTCGAAGATGCGCTTGGCAGCGCGCTGGGACGGCAAAGGCAAGTCGGGTTGCGGGTCCAAAGACTCGACAGCCAGACCTGAACCACGCCCTGCTGCGCCGCCACCACCTCTGGCGGCTGGGGCTCCTCACTGAAGGCCAGCCATGTTAGCCGTGTTGCGCAATATTTTGGCCCCTGTCAAGTCTGCACACCTCACATCTTTGGCCTCTCTCGGTCTCTCCTTCACCTGCTTGGAGATGGGCTCCTGCCCAAAAGCCCAAAGCCAATGGCTTGTTCCGCGCAAGTGTTTTGGATACTCAAGCAGTTTCTTGATACCTATCCCGCAAAGGAGGGTTCATGGTCCTTGGGCGGCCCACTCATCGTGTGGGTTTTGCCGGAACCTCAGAGCGATCTTATTTGTCATGCAATCTGCAACCTGAGATGCGTGCCTGTAATTCCATAACCTCGGCTCATGAAGCACTTGTTCCATTTCTGGTCATATTTATCCAAGGGAGCACCGGTCGTTGACTGAAGAGCGTGCATATTTATCTAAGGCACAAAACACCACACCATTGTAGCCCTCCATCACCCTGTGAAGCAGGTGAATGGATACAGACGGGCTAAGCCAGTGCTCATGGCCTGTCAACAACTGGAGCGCAATGCTCGAAAACCTCCTGCGGAGTCATTGGTCTTGTCATGGCCACTTGCATGGCTCGAGCCTCCTGGCCACCAGTTTCATCCACGAATCCTTGGTGATACTTGGTGATACTGGGTCCCACGGCTTGATGCGTGCTGTCAATTGCTGTCAAGTGGCCGTTGCAGCTGAAACTTCGCGGTCCTTTCCTGCAGCTACGGCTGGCCGCTTTTCTATCCTGTTTGGTTGGACCACGTCCTGTCTTGCTCGTCTTCAAGGCGAAGCTTGACCTGGACCACTTGGACCACTGGAGCTCGGCGGCTAATGTGAACTTACTGTCTGCGGGTCTGCGCCTTAGCTTTCTGGCGGGCCGTGGAGAGTGAAATCCGCCGGCCCTGCATTTCCAGACATTCACTCGAGCGCTCGAGATGAGCTCGAGCCTCCTTCGTCAGGGGGCGGCACCGCACCAGCACGCCCACGGGGCCATAGTCAGACACCTGGCCCGAACCTGCCTGCCTGAGGCTTCCGAGGCTTCCGAGGCTTGCGAGGCTTGCGAGGCTTGCGAGGCTTGCGAGGCTTGCGAGGCTTACGATGCGCCTGTGATGTTGAAGCCTGATCAGGCCAGTCTTGGCGTATGTCAGCGCACACCTTGCCAGCCTCCGTCAACTGGCTGTCCTCTCGTGCGGGCATGATGGCCGCTCTCACTCTTGGACAAGGCCGGCAATCCCCAGCCTCTGCCTCCTCCTCTGCGTCCTCTGCGTCCTCTGCGTCCTCTGCGTCCTCTGCGTCCTCTGCGTCCTCTGCGTCCTCTGCGTCCTCTGCCTCATCTGGATCCTCCGCGTCTGACACTCGAAAGGCTCCAAGCATGCAACGGGCAGGAGATATGAATCTGGATGTCCACCCGGCAAATCTCCTCGAGGTCCGCCTCCGCCTTCAGCTCCTGGTGCTGCTCCACCAGGGAGACGTCGAGATTCTAGGCACACTTCATATATTAGCTCGGGGCGCCGCGCCAAATGTGCGCCTTGGAGGGGCGTGACAAGCGCCTGCCAGCACTTCAAGGCATCTACACTCCGACCAATCCAGCGTCGTGTTGAAGTCACGTCCCAAGCACGATCATCGCGAAGGGATATGGAGTGCATCAGGGGCAACGCAGAGCAAACTTTGATCTTAATATCTCGCACAAGTTTTCTCGCACAAATGTTCTCGCGCGAGTTTGCTCGCGCAAGTGCGCAAGTTGTTTCATGCACAAGTGCTCGTTGCTCTGTGCAAGTTCTTCAAGACAACTTCTGAAGACTCATCTGCGAGCGCAAAAAAACAAAACAGTCCTCAGTGTTTGCGCATCGAACACACCAATCCCTGCAGAGGATCGCACTGGCATTCTAAAGTATTGCAAAAGGCTTCAGTTTCGGCACATCCACCACGCCGATCTTTTCACAGGGTCGCACGGGCAACTTTATAGTGGCAAGAGTCCTCAGTTCTTACAAGTGGACAACCCATAGGGCCGTTGCACGGAAGGTAGCAAAAGCTATCGGCTTTTGCACATCGACCGCCGAGTCCCGCAGAGGGTGTCATTTTGCGCGAGTTTTCTCGTGCAAGCGTGCGCGCTAGTGCGCTCGTGCAAGCGTGCTCCTTCGAGTTGGCTCGCGCAAACGTACCTGTGCAAGTTTGCTCGTGTAAGTGCGCAATTGGGAGTTGCCCGGAAGAACCCTTCGCGATGCTTTCAGGAAAATCAAAAACTCAAGCAGCAAAGAAGAAAGCAGCAAAATAGCAGTGAATGCACTGAACCCTGTCTACAACTGGGAAGGCTTCTACGAAAGGAAGAAGCAGCCAACATGTCCATATCGCAGGCGGTCACCATCTGGCCCGGGTGATGGTTCTTGTTCTCGTGAGGAACAAGCGCACAACGTGTCCACATTGACGTCCCCAAGCGAAAATGCAAGACACGTTCAGCTTTGACACTTTGTGTTGGGGCTTTCCACCTCGGGGCAGTGGCGCAGCAACAGCACAGCAACAGCAAGAGCAACAGCAACAACCACAACTGCAACAACCACAACTGCAAATGGCAATTGCAACTGCAACTGCAACGGCAACTAGCAGCCAGCAACCAGCCACCAGCTCCCAACAATGGCAACAACGGCAAGCAACAACATGAACATCGTCAACGACAGCAACAGCGACAACATATCTGACTCTATGCTCCAAGGCGCTGCGCGCAAGGGCTCAAGCAGGGGTAACACGGACAAAGGCCAACAAGTGATCTGGGAAGGCTAACATGTCGACAAAGCGATGCGTCAGAAACCCACCGGCCAATGTTTACCCGTCCCACCTGCTGCGGAGGCCCTGGAGCCATGATGACACATCCTGAGGCAACGTTCCCGCTTCATCCCACACTCCTTTCCAAGTCCTTTAATCAAGTCTTGAGCCGCCCACGTCACTTCCCATGGCCGGGTTATCTTGCATGCCGGTTGCTCTCTTCGATTGCGTCAACGCTACCAACTCTGAATGACTCCGTGATCCTCAACAAGCCCTTAAGCTCTTCTTCATAAGGAACAAGACTATTTTTGCGCTGGGAGTGAACTTGTTTCTCTTCTTAACTTAACTTAGCCTCCGAGCCAAAGCAGTAGGCAGCCCAAGGCGATGCACCATGCCAAGGCGGCGCCTCTCTATTCCAACGAGTATGCTGTTTTCACGGTCAGGCGTGGCATGCAGTCTCCTAGCAAGCGATGGCTGGGCTAGATCAAGCTGACCACGCCTGCACACAGCGCACGGAAACGCCTGGAGAGAGGACACACCATGCGCTGCGGCTTTCTCGTGCTTGGGCACCGCCTTGAAATCCTTTCGGGGCAACAAGCCTTGAAGGTGGTGTGTGTGTGTGTGTGCGTGCGTGCGTGCGTGCGTGCGTGTGTGCGTGTCCGTGTCCGTGTCCGCGTGTGCTTGTGCGTGCGCGTGCGTGCGTGCGTGCGTGCGTGCTTGTGCGGGCTTGTGCGTGCTTGTGTGTGCTTGTGCGTGCTTGTGTGCTTGTGCGCGCGCGTGTGTGCTTGTGCGTGCGTGCGTGCTTGTGCGTGCGTGCGTGCGTGCGTGCGTGCGTGAGTGCGTGAGTGCGTGTGTGCGTGTGTGCGTGTGTGCGTGTGTGCGTGTGTGCGTGTGTGCGTGTGCGCGTGCGCGTGCGCGTGCGCGTGCGCGTGCGCGTGCGCGTGCGCGTGTGCGTGTGCGTGTGCGTGTGCGTGTGCGAGTGCGTGTGCGTGTGCGTGTGCGTGTGCGTGTGCGTGTGCGCGTGCGCGTGCGCGTGCGTGCGCGTGCGCGTGCGCGTGCGTGTGCGTGTGCGTGCGCGCAGCGCGCGTGCGCGTGCGCGTGCGCGTGCGCGTGCGCGTGCGCGCGTGCGCGTGCGCGTGTGCGTGCGCGTGCGCGTGCACGTGCGCGTGCGCGTGCGCGTGCGCGTGCGCGTGCGCGTGCGCGTGCGCGTGCGCGTGGCGCGTGCGCGAGCGCGTGCGCGTGCGCGTGCGTGTGCGTGTGCGTGTGCGTGTGCGTGTGTGTGTGTGTGTGTGTGTGTGTGTGTGTGTGTGTGTGTGTGGTGTGGTGTGCGTGTGTGTGTGCGTGTGCGTGTGCGTGTGTGCGCGCGTGTGTGTGTGTGTGTGTCCAATCCTGTTTACTAAGGGCGGCGTGTAATTCGAAGCTCAAAATGCAAGCCAGAAGGATTTGCAAACTGCCGAGCTCGGTAGCGCCAGCAGTCCGAATTCTCGTTTTTTCTTCCCCTCCCTAAACCCGTGGGACTTGAGATGTCCAAAAAAAAAGCAAGCCGGAAGGCTTTGCGAACTGCCAAGAACGGTAGTGCCAGCGGCCCGGAACCTCCGGTTTTTTTTTATCCCTGGAGTAGGCCACAGCCATCCTTGGGCCTAGTCTGTGGCCCTGACGAGTAGGGCCCAAGGATGACGAAACTCCACTTGAGGTACAATTAAAGTGCATGATCCGAACCTAGAGTGTGCCCACTGGGCTTGATCCTGACCCTCGTAGAAGAAATGAGACACAACAAGGACCGAGAGAGGGGGGATTTCACAAGTGTGATCCAGGCAGTAGTTCGTTTAACGGGCCTGCGGTAGGATAGCCTACTGTGTTTGATTGAGCCTTGCCATCGGCTCGCGCGCAGCATTGGTCATTCAGTTGACCCTCAGATGTCAGCTTGACCCTTGAGGTCCCCAGGTCAGTTTGGAACTTGCCTTTGTTCCACCAAGTTTTGGGAGTCTTCCCACTCAGTTGCCATTTCGTGGTTAGTGCTGTAAAGCACAACAGAGACAGCCAGCGATGTCTATCGCCTCAGAAACCAGCATGCCCATTGGGTCTGAGAGGCCATCATCCCCCCGACGCATTCTTTTCTGAAGCTGTTCGGCCAGCTGGCCGCTCAAGATTGCAAGGGCTTCTGACAACGTTAGTTCGACCGCCATGTCTCAGTGGTGGCAGATCCAGGGCGCCAGGAGCAGCGACTCGTGGAAGGCTAAGGACTGGGAATCCAGCGACTGGAAAACTGACGCATGGTCCAAGACCGATGCTTGGTCGAATTCCTGGGGCCATTGGCCCGCAGACAGACCCAAAGCCCCAGCCGAGCCGGCGTCCATCCCGGACGTGCCACCCCCAGCGCCAACATTTCCAAACACGTTCTCTCCTGATGCCGCGTGTCATGACAAGACACCTGTCGCTGGCCACCAGCTTTTTCGAGTGGTGCAGCCGACAGAGTGGAGTCGCAAGACCGGCATAGCAGGACGTAAGCTTGAGGACGTCCGCTTGCACGAATTGTGCCACCGCGGCATGGCTGAGTTCTCCATGAGATTGGTCTCAGAAGGCCGATTTCAGGGAATTGTATGGACGCGAAGCGTCCAAGAATCCGTCTTCGTCACGAGTCTGCTGAAAAAGATTCGTGATGCTCACCTGAATATCGACGATGTGGCTCGGACCTTTTTCACTCAGGATGTGCCTGACAAGCACAAAGACTCTGCCAAGTTTATGGGCCCACTAGCAGAGGAACTGTTTCAGGCCATGCAAGCTCGCGCGCCTAGCCAGGACCCGGCAATCGCTGGTCGTGCGCGAGCTAAGCTTGCAGCGGCAGGAATCCAGCTCACCCCTAGCAAGAAGCGGACCAGCGAACCTGCGTCCAGCGCAGCAGACCCCCCCGCCAAGCGAGCCAAGGGGGAGGGAGATGAACATCCTGACCTGACTGGTCACGATCCGGCGGTTGTAAAGCTTTTGCAGGGGCCACCTGCTCGCATGTTGGACGCCCAACCCCGCGGAGCCAAGGATGAGTACATCACCGAGTGGCTCAACACTTTTAAGGGCACTTTCAAAGGAGAATTCACTGTCTTCAAGAAGCATGTGCGCGTGGTTCAGGAACTGTTGAAGAAGCACTGTTCCAAAGCCGAGCTCGTTGAAGCCGCTACCCGGTTCGGACTTGATCAGAAAATGGCAGTCCGGCTGAATGTCCGCAATCTTTCCAGCGTTATTCATGCGGCTCAGTACCAAGCTGCTTGACTAGCTTGCAAGAGCGCAGACCTGCCTGCAGCACGTAAGTTTGAAGTGTTTCAGGAGGTCTTGGAGCTCGGCGCGGCGTGCACGTTTTTCAAGCACAGGTGCGCTGCCGTCGCCAAATCCCCCGTCATTTGGGCCCAAGGGCTTCTTCACTTATGTCTTTTGTTTGACCATCAGACGCCGCAACATTCGCCCAACGACACTGCCTTTGGGCACGTCATGCGCGGCCGATTTCAACAGCTCGGGGTCACTCCCAACAAATACACTTGGCCGTGGTTTCAAGCCAACAATGCTGTCTATGTGAAGCTGCAAGTGGACTGGCGCCATTTTAAAACTCTCGAGAAGTACCGGCAGCCGTCACCAATGCTGTACATAGGCAGCACGTCCGTGTCCGTCACACTCCGGGAAAGCAACCGCATGTCAGTGTTTAAACGGTTGCAGAACCATCAAGAAGCGCAGGTTGAGCTGGCCGTCCGCTATTGGCACAGCGCAGGCAATTTTGAAGCCTTTAGCGTAGTCGCCATTGCCGCATGCGAGTCTTATAGAGCTGCGTGGATTTTTGAACACTCCCTCATCGAACTCTGGCAGCCAAAGCTGAATTTCCCTTTCATCCAACAATTCCTGAAACGCTCAGCCCTTGGATTTCGGCCTGCAAAGCGCAGGCGCATGACAGCTTACGGGCGATTTGGGCTTCGCTTGTGGCGCAAGTTGCGCAAGAAATTATACCCAACCCGGCAAACATTGGCCATGTGCGTGTCACGCCGACATGCTTGGGAAATGCTGTTTGACTTGACCAGCTTTACAGCGGCCAGTTTCCGAGCCAACAAGACTCTCCGTAGCACACGGTTCACCGATGATGAAGTGTATGCGATGTTTCGACTAAGTATGAACTTGGAAGAGCCGCTGCGATCACGCGCGCGGCAGTTCTTGAAACAGGTCGCCCACTTTCGAAACATGACTTGGCCTGTGCAGAATGCGCCCCTCGCTATCCAGTTTTTGGCACCTGATGATTTTCCAAAGCAGATCTCACGCTGGCTGAGGGCGCAGGTGCTTCGCTACAAGTGGATGCTGGTACCGTTTCACCTTCCTCCGCACACCGTTCGTGAAGCCCCACACCAATCTCTTCGAGAGTTCTTACACAACACACAGTTTTGGGACCAGCGTGTGTCCTCGTGTGAGGTGCAACAGCTTAAGTGTCCGTGCGCATCGTACCGTTCACGGCTTCCTCCGAACTCTCTGGTAGATTCGCATGTCGCCTGCGGCATAGAAGATCTGGTCAGTTGCCACCAGTGGCTCCGACCAGTTGCTACAGCCAGCGCTTCATCTACTTTTTTCCCTGCCAAGCACTACTACATGCAGCACAACCGTTTGAAGTTTTCTCGGTGGCGCAGGAAGCATGGATTTCCTCCCAGTCTCGAAGATGAGTTCGTCGAGCTGCTTTGGCAGCTCTGGGAGGACCATAGGATTGCTTTGGACCATCACCATCGATTCACTTGGGCAGACATCCACAAGACCCGCCATATACTGCACAAGCAGTTCGTCATTCACAATGAGGATCACCACAACTCTCATTTGATGGTGTACTGTCCACGCTTCTACTATCAAGCAGTTTTGCGCACTTGGGACGACCCAGAAGTATTTCAACCTCTCACGGGCACGGCAGAGGAGTGGCAGTCCTGGGTCGTGAAACAGATCCCCAAGTCCATTCAAAAACGTTACGCCTGGGGAGTTGAATGTGCAGCCCGGATCCCCCGGGGCTTGGTGTTTCTCAAACGCAAGAAGCAATTTCGCACGGGTCGCACCATCATCAGCTATGCCTCTTCAGTGCTGGCTCGCTTACTGGCGGCTGCTTCCCAAGCCATTGCGCTGATGATCCACACAGTGTGGTGGGATGGCCTAGGCCTCGACACCATGCCTAGACTATGGCAAAGAATGCACACCTTTTTTCGCGACACACCTAGTGAAGTTCATTTGCAAGAGGTCAACGATGATCTTATTGGCTTCTTCAACTCTGTCCCACGTCTGGAAATTTTGCGGGCCTTAGATTGCTTAATGACGGAGTACAAGGCAGCTGGGCACGAAGCCGACATTACAGTTGTCATGCGCCCACAGCAAGGGCAGGAGAAAGCTTTTCCAGGTCGGCCTCGGGGTGGATGCTCCCGCGGACTGAAAGCCATTCGACGGAGTGACCTTGCCCACATAGTCGAGCTGTCGTTCACTACAGGTGTGTTTGAAGCAGCGGGCCGTGTGTATCGCCAGACTCGAGGGACATGCATAGGCAACCAAATAAGCCCTATTTTGTCAAGTCTGCCAGTCATTTT